AAAAATTGTTTACAGACAGACGGACAGACAGACAGCTAGACGGAAAGACAGACAGACGGACGACGGACACCTTACTATCGCATTAGCTCTTCTGGTCTGTGACCAGTAGAGCTAAAAATGACTGGGGCACGCGTGTCAAGGTCAGAGTCACGGTTTTAAATTACATCAACATAGAAACACCCAATGACGTGTAGTGACATGGTGACCCACACAGTCCACGTCCCATGTCAGATCATATTGATTTCCCTATTTATCTTGTGCGAGATCATGTAGAGCAACAAGGAAATGTCTCTTCCTTTCATAACAATTAAGTTTATCATTATACGGCCACACCCGGACGATCAGGAAGATAATCTTGTTTTTATCGTGTCTTTAATGTCTCCATTATTTTCGTCTCATTTTTCCAGTTTTGTGAAGGAATAGCCATTATCCATTACATGGCAAAAACGCTTAACTTTCATTGCTATTTAAAGCTGAAGACAGTGACAGTACCAACTGTATCCTAAGCTGTATAAAATCGTTTTGATATGACAAAGTACTGTATTTGTTACCGTGAAGCGTGTCACAATCCAAGACTTGCATGATAATCAAATCTAAAAATTGCTTACAAGGCAAGGGAGGAAATGAATGAAATTTCCCATAATTCAGGGCATTAATTGCTTAAAGAACATTAAAGTAACGTGTACATTGCTTCTTGTTAAATGCTATGTATTTTTTAATGTTTAAAGACAGCCTCAGAAAATATGTCAAGGATCCAAAATAACACCAATAGGTTGCAGTTTTTTAAGTTACCAACTTAATTGTGTTTATTTACCCAAATGCAGACTTATTTCCAAAATGAATTTCTTAACATGTAAACATAAAATATCTTTTGTTTGCCTAAGAAATCCCCGTTACCCAAGTACGACTTTCTCAATTTCGCCCCACTTGGTACCGCACTCATCTCATGTTAATTTTAGAATTTTAAGATTTTTTCAGTTATCAACTTTACCCCTCTAAGGCTGTCTTGGAGAATATATAGGTCATTGTTTGCATAATTATTACAATTATTGAGGAATGCCCCCCCCCCCAAGTTTCCCTGTATAATAAATGTTTAAAAAATGCGGTATCCGAAAGCCTTGTCCTGGGACCAATAACCATGAACTGTACACATTATTGGTAGTCCTTCATTAAAAGCAAGCAATTTTCCTGCCATACAATATGAATTTTAGCTGAGAATCTGAAATAAAAACCTTAAATCAAGACATTTACCCCCCTAAAAATAACCTCCCACTGCATTATGGATACAAAAGACAAAATTATGTTGTTTTTTGTTCATCTTCATTTGAGCAACATAAACAACACCGTTCATGGAAATCAAAAACCGATAAACAGAATTTTTTGTATCTTAGTGTAGTCTACTTGTGTGCCAAGTAATATTGAAATCAGACCAAAACTGTGAGTGCTGATCAAAATAAATAATGAGCAACTTATCTATGATTTATTCATGTGCACGCTAGCGGGTTGATATTTTGCATCAAAACCGATTCCAGCACTGTAGCATTACAAAGCAGGAATCAACATATATGTCTCCTTGAGATTAGATGACATTACCATGTACAATACCACACAGAATTGAGGCATTTCTTTTTTTTATTATGACAAGATATGAAGAATTTTCTAATCATAGAACTATACAATGAAGCCATTACAGAAATAAAATTATATACACAGACCTACTACAACTCAGTGTCACCCTGAATTGTCTCCCTTATAAATAAATGTCTCCAGAAAAATTTTTTTTATCCTTTCTCAGAAATCTCAAAAAAAAAATTTTACATCCCAAGAAAACAGCATCAAATTTAAACAGAAGTATCTTTTTAGGCTATCTTCCAAACATCAAGACACTGGACATGCAGAATTCTGTCTTTTTTGTTCTGTTAATTTCATTTCAGCTTAACAGCAATTCTAATTAGTGCCATCAAAATATACAACTCTAAAGGCCCTCCAAAAATGAATCCAATTTTCTCTGATTTAAGATTCCATTAAAAACAAGGTCACGGGATGAGGAGATAAGAAGTTAAACATTAAACATCCAAAGTTGTTGGATCATAAAGATATTGGGAAGTAAGATTATCTGTGTCTGTATTCCATTTGAAATGAAATTGAAACATTGGTCCACTGAATTTGTCAACTCCATTCTGAGGAATGTCTGTACATAACAATGGAATGTTCATCAATCTATGTAGAGATATAATATAAAGAACCACAAATATAAATTTCTTACAATTTTGTTTAACTGAGAGGGAGATATCTATTATAACTTGTTAATTAAGAAGTTTCCTTAAACTTCACATATGACTCAAATGCTATTCGGGCATTATCAATATCATAATCTTTTACCACATAAAAATTATATTAAACTTAAGAATAGGCATTACATCTTCCGTACATTCCTTCCATACACACATACATTTCATACATGATCATTTCTTTTACACAATAAGTAAGAAAATGTTCAGTTCCCCAGTATTCCACTGTGAGATTAACTTCTTTGACCAGCACCAAACAGTCCTAAAGCAGACGACATTTCTTCCCTTTCTTCTTCTTGACTTGCAGTGCTGCTCGCGTGGCTGTTTCAAACACTTCTCTGACCCCCTCTTTTGTTTTGGCCGAACACTCAAGGTAAGCGAAGGCGTGGATCTGTTCCGCCATGGCCTGACCTTCAGCTGTTTTGACTGGCTCTTGTTTACTTTTCTTGAGCTCTTTTTGTGTGTTAGGGTCATTCCGTGTGTCTTTCTTGTTGCCTACGAGGATTATGGGTACATTGGGACAGAAGTGTTTGACTTCCGGTGTCCATTTTTCTGGGATGTTTTCTAAACTGTCGGGGCTGTCTATAGAGAAGCACATTAGTATGACGTCAGTGTCGGGGTAGGAGAGTGGGCGGAGCCTGTCGTAGTCTTCCTGTCCAGCTGTATCCCATAATGCCAACTCAACCTGCAAATGAAAATACACAGTCTTAATTCAACCCAACAATAGACAACCATGCATTTCTTTCCTATTTCTTTTCAAAATCTGCATTTTATAAACTGATTAATAGAAAAAGAAACACAATATTCTTAACAAATGAATTAGTTAACTAAAAAGCAAGACTTTACTACATTCAAAAAGTTACAAACTGTGCGAAACATGGTAATGCAGTAAACATATACAAATCTTATATATCTTTTCTAATATATCATGACCCTACAACACCATATTAAATGTCGAACTAATAAAAAGCAACAGTACATTACAATGCATGCACAGATAAAACTGGCACAACAAAGCCAATAGGGTTCACCCCACAAGGCCAGGATTCAGTTTCCTGGCAGTATTGTATGACGACTGTTTACAGTTAGGGGGACACTAGTGTTACTCTGAGGAACAGGGGCAAAGCAAAGAAACACATGCTTCCGCAGACCCCGGGAAGTGGTGTGCCGATGATAAACTAAATCATGATCCGACTTATGGTGTGAAAAACAAAATACACAAAGAAAGTTATAAACAAACTTGTATAAGCTTGAATTCACATTGTGTTAACTTAGTTATGAAGTCAAATGGAGAGAGAACTTCTGCATCTTTCAAAATGAAATAGGGCTGAAACGATTCAACGAAATATCGATATTGTTCAATATAAGTGCTCGGTTCAATGTTCGATTCACCATCTCGATTTTCGGTTCGATACGTTTTTTATAATCGGGTTTGGTTAACTCTTTGAAATAGATCGGGTTCGACCTTATTTTAACAGTTTGACACACACGAGGGAGAAAATTGGGACGGTCAAGTTTCAGAGTAGGCTGTCTCTGCTATTATTTATATGAATAAAGTGTTCTTAATCAACAGAACCACAAGTATCAGAGATGTGCAATAAACAAATTAGTAAATTTGGGCTAGTAAAAATTATAACTACGCATGTAATACATGAAAAGTACAACCGGTATTTTACTCATTTTTTGCATCAAATTCCCAACCAGTGAATATTTTCCAGACAGAAAGCTCCTACTGTCAATAAATCTCCATAATTTTCTCCATTTTGCAGTACTTCCTGACTTATTTACTTCCAAAAACGAAGGTTTTTTCGTAATCCGAATTTGCTCCATTCCTCCGTTTATTGTAAATACATGCAAATATCTCATTAAATTATTTACGATTACTCAACCAACTGAAAGATCAGTGTGATTCAGATGAAATATATTTCTAGTGTATTTAAGGATTTAATATGAAAACAAAATGAATTTATTTTCATTCTAAATCAGCTAGTGTAAATAAGCAGAAAATGAAAGATCTTCAGATAATTTTTTTTTTAAATTCATTTTTATTTTCTGTCATAATCATTAATTTTATATGATTTAATTCTAATAGTGAGAATTTTTTGTCCCTATATTTGGGCTAGTAACTTTTTACTTGGGGATAATAATTTTATTGCTGCCACTAGCCCTCGGGCTAGTACTTGAATTTATAAATTGCATACCCCTGGTAGTATATTTCTACTGTATCACCTCCTTTTATTCTTTTTTTTTTTTTGAAATCTGAATACGTTTTCTTTAACCTTATGAATAGTTTCATTCTTAAATTGTATCGTATTGAAAAAATTGAATTGTGACACAAGTATTGCAATACGTATCGTATCGTGGAGGGGGCGTATCGTTTCAGCCCTAAAATGAAAACTACAGAGGAGAGTTGTCTAAAACCATTTTTGGAGTTGTTCACAATAGGTTGTTAGTTAATATCCTAAAATCGACTTGTTGCTCTGTATGTTAAATTGTCAAGATCCATTGAATTGTAGAGTTTAGTTTGAGGCAACTTTTAGTTAAGTTCACAAGTGATCTGAACCTGCATTTAATTCACTAACCAAGTAAATATAATAGATATTTTTGCCATTAGATGTAACCAAATACTCAAAATTAATGCAGAAATGTAATTATAAATACCTTACATGAAATGAATATATAAATTTCACTTACAATTCCTTTTTAAAAAAATTTTGTAGCTTATTCTTTTAAAACATAAAAACACACAAAAAAGGAACGTGTTTTCATATTCCAGAGCTGTGGAAAACTGCCGGTCATGCCGGCAAGACTGGCAAAAAATGCCTGTTACCGGTAAAAATGCTATCGATGTCGGCCCAAATGACCGACCTCTTTCTTTGTTAAAGTTTTTGATTTTCCATTTTGATTTAGGCCTATCATCGGCACACTTCCAAGCTTAGTTATCGTACCTTATAAATGATTACGCAATACTTTTTCTTTGCACGAGATCGAGGCTATAGGAAATGAGAGCGAAACCAGCATTGTCTCGCATGACCTTTTAAATTTACAAATGGGACAGAATTAGGTAAAAACATTTTTAAAAAAAAAGATAAGACAGGCTAAATAGCTGGGTATGTAAAACATTTTGACAGAAAAAATTCAAACACAGTTGTCAATGAGTAAAGCGGTAAACCTAGTACTTCCGTCGTTCCGAGTGTCCCAGATTTCGTTTTTTTTTTTTCATTGATCATATTCATGATTAGTATTTTTATTATCGATGCAAAGAGTTTCTTAGACTCACTTTTGAGGCAACATATAATTCCAAAATGCATTAATGTTTAAAAAAAAAATTACGTTTACCATGCAGAATTATCATTGTTACCTGTCAAAAAGTTATGAAATCTAGTATTGTTATAAATGCAAAAAAAAAACGAAAACGAAGGAGGATGGACTTGGAAATGGAGACTTTTTTTAAATGTTTTATCAGGGACCTATATACTAGTATATAGGTCCCTGGTTTTATTAAGTAAAGTGTACTTAACAAAATAAATGAAATGCTTTTCTTTTTAATTTTGCAACATACTATTTCGGACCGGCAAAAATCACTTCGGACCAGCATATTTTGTCTTCTTGCCGGTCCGAAAGACTGGCTATCTGAAAAAGTTTTCCACAGCTCTGATATTTTACAATTCCCTACCTCTGTAGAAATCTACTCACTATTATTTATACACCATACCACATCCCTGTATATATATATATGTCTAGTCAGTAGATATACCTGTATACATTTATCTACATGCTGATATATTGTGCACAAAAAATGTCCCTGAGTATCTTACAATTATAAATCGACTCCTCTAGTTATTGATTATTATGTTCCCCAAACGAAGTTGGGGAACATATTGTTTTTACTCTGTTTTTTATTATTATTAAGGTCTTCCGTCTTCAGCGGAAGACCTTTCTGTTATTCTTAGGTTTCTTTTCCACAGTTTTTATTATTTTTTTTCTTACATATTTTGTGCACGCGAGTTCTCGAAAACGGCTTGATCGATTTTCATGAAACTTTCAGGACTGATACAACTTAAAAAAATCTAGGTATATATATTTTTGTTTTGATGACGTCACTTCCGGTTCGGAGATTTCCGCGATTTTGTCACTTTTAGAGGGTAACTTTGTCCGGCAATGTTCTCAAAAACCATTGAAGATAGAAGTGTGAAATTTTCAGGGATGCTAGAGCAATCTTTGGAGAAGTGCTTTTTGTATATTACAACTACCGGAAGTACGAAGCGCCGACGCTCGCTATGGCCCGAAAATAGTCCTATTAAGAATTTCAAAATTTTTAACACCTTTTCTACATTAACTTTTTACCTAGAAATATTTTGTTAAAACATGTAGAACCAAAAAAGTGTAGAATTACACGATCTTTCAAGTGATATCTCCAAAAAAGGGCTAGCCCCTAAAATGAAGGGCCTACAGGGGCCGAAAGTTTTTCCTTTATATCTCAAAAAGTATTGAGAATTTGTAATACGTCAAAGAAGCAAAGTTGTTCAAAATGTCAAGCTTAATTTACTGGCGTCATCAAAATACGTCCGACGACGTCACTTCCGGCCAAACCGGAAGTAGTCGAAAAACGCGTATTTTTGCCGTTCTTGACAAGTTTTTGGGTAACATATGTCTCTGGGAGCTTAAAAATTAATTTTCCGTGTGTCGTCGTTACTTCCGGTCAAACCGGAAGTAGCAAAAAATGGCTTATTTTTGTATTAATTAACTTAGCTTTAGAGGATTCAAAGCATTTTTGGTCGTTATTTATCATTTTTTTCAAAAATGAAAGCTACCTCCGGTCAAACAGGATGGAAGACCTACTCGTTGCTTTGCAACGAGCTTTGCTCTAGTTATTATTATTGTTTTTTTTTCTTACCGATTTTGTGCACGCGCTTTCTCGAAAACGGCTCAACGGATTTCCGTGAAACTTTCAGGACTTATGTTACATCACTTGAACCTTATGCGTTTTTTTTTCCGTTTTGATGACGTCACTTCCGGTCCGGAGTTATCGGCACTTTAATGTTTTTTAAGGGTCAGTTTGTCCGCACGATTTCTCCTAAACGGCTTTAGGTAGACACATGATACTTTCAGGTATGGTAGATCTATGTTTGTAGATTTGCGGAATGTATTTCATTTTTATCGGAAGTGCCGCACGTCGGCGCTCGGTATGGCCCGAAAATAGTCCTATCGCAAATTTCAAAATTTACAACACCTTTTCTACAATATATTTTTACTTGGAAATATTTTGTTAAAACATATAGAACAAAAAAAGTGTAGAATTTCAAGATCTTTCAAATGATATCTCGAAAAAAGGGCTGGCCCCTAAAATTAAGGGACTAGCGGGGCCGAATGTTTTTCCTTTATATCTCAAAAAGTATTGAGAATTTGTAATACGTCAAAGAAGCAAAGTTGTTCAAAATGTCAAGCTTTATCTAGTGAAGTCGTCAAAATACGTCCGGCGTCGTCACTTCCGGCCAAACCGGAAGTAGTCGGAAAACGCGTATTTTTGCCGTTCTTGACAGGTTTTTGGATAACATATGTCTCTGGGAGCATACAAATTAATTTTCCGTCCGTCGGCGTCACTTACGGTCAGACCGGAAGTAGCCAGAAATGGTTTATTTTAAAGGTTTTTGATGCAAAATTGAAATTATAAAGTGACTGGAGACGACTTAGCTCATTGCTTTCTTTTTTTATGTCACTTTCGGCACTTCCGGTCAAAACCGGACGGAAGACCTACTCGTTGCTTTGCAACGAGCTTTGCTCTAGTTAAGGTCTTCCGTCTTCACGGAAGACCTTATAGTGATTCTACTGTTTCTTATTATTCTTATTATTATTATTATTCTTTTTTTTGACAAAATTTTGTGCAGGCGATTTCTCGAAAACTATTCAGCGGTTTTTCATGAAACTTTCACAAAATATGTGTTATTATATGAAGTTGTTACATCCGAAGAGAAATTTGAAAAATTCGCTTCTGGTGCCAAGTTATGGACAATTTCCTGATTTTAAAATGCGATTTTGTCGCCCCTTTTTGTCGAAAATGGCTAAGGATATGAACTGGAGACTTATTGGAGATGATAGATCATGACCTTGTGGATTGCGGAATCGCCTTTTCGTGCGTCGTCAATACTTCCGGTCGTTACGAGATGCAGATTTAAATAAATCGTATTTTCTAACTTTTTTGTTTTTCGGTATTTTTCATTTTTATTTGGTATGGTAATAGAAGCCCTCCTTATAATGCTTACTATTTAATTTGTTTGAATGTTGATAAATCTAAAGTCTAGATATTTGCATTCAAAAATCTGAAGCGGGTCCAAAATGGCGGCTGTCTCTGTCAACTCCGCCATTTCGCGAGTAGGGGTTTATGGAGGCAGCTGAGCGTTTGATTAAACCATTCTGACATAAGGATACATGAAATGTAAAAAACTACTTCGACTCTCACGTAGTAGTGAAATGGTTGGAGGAGTTATCTCCCGTTTTTTGTTTATATTATAATAGATAATCAATGTAAATATTGTAATTAATTTGTCAATTGACTAAAGAATTATACAAGTATTATTGATAAATGGTGTTCTGTTAGAAAATAATAATAGTGTTGCCAAAAGAAGACAGTCTGTTTTATTTTATCAATATGATATCTGATAACTTTTGATCATTGATTAAGTTGAGGTACAAGGGGGCAGTACAGCCAGCTGTCTTGTGTCTTCACTTTGGTACTGAAACCAATTGGTTTATAGATCAAATAGGATTGTGCAAAGTTGCCGTAGCCAGTGACTAGTTAAAATGTAGCTGTGTGACATTAGCTATAGGTTTGTCATTAGGACAGAGAAGCTCTTACAAAGTTAAATCATACTGTGTAAGTATATTCTAGCTACTTGGCTAGAGTTATGTAGGCAACTTGGTAAGCAGTTATACACCAGGCAGATGTTAAAGGCTAAATCAAGAGGCACCAGGCAGATAGATGTTGACTTATATAGTCAGTTGTACGAGTATAGTGAGGCAATTATCATATGGCACCAGACAGGTGCCGGTATTAACTGAAGATATATAATTATAGAAAGCACTTAGGTCATTGATTTAAAGACACCAGCTAGGCAGGTGTCATATTATTATCTGTATAAATTTGCATGCAATCATATCCCTAGTAAAACTCGGTAATCCGAGCACGGACCTACTGACCGCTCAGATCCGACACGTAACAGTAGTACGTTGCAATTGAGTGTCAATCTTAAAACTTAATTTCCATTTCACTGCTTTAGTGTAACTGGGCTAGATACGATATGTAATGTGTATAATGTGTTACATATACTTTCTTAACGTCAAAATGAAATAAAGGCGCTAAGAATGTTTTATTTTTAAAATTTAATTGATTCTATCATACCTATCTAATAGATCAGTCCAAAGAAAAGGCGCGAATATTTACTCGTGGCGTTTGGCGCGAAATTATGAATGCTTTTTATAATTCTTAGACAGGTGAACTGTTGCAAAAGTATACACAAGTATATTTAGAGCAGTACTCCCAATAGCTTAATGGTTAGCGCGTTGGGGATAACAAAGTAGTTTTTTAAAAAGCGCATTCACTTTGGCGACATGGGTTCAATCCTCCTTGTTACCAAATTTTGAATCTCTTTTCAGCTTGATTTTCCGTGGGTTTCTTTTCCTAAAGCGGACGGAAGACCTCTCGTTGCTCGCAACGAGATCGTTTCTAGTTATTCTTATTTTTCTTCCTGGGAAAATTTTGTCCGCGAGTGATCTTGTAAACTACACATCAGACTAAGGTGAAATGTTTTTAGGGTCAGTAGACATGTAATGTAGATTTGCGGAACGAAGGTCATTTTGCGCGCACGTGCTTGCAAGAGCGCGCACGTGCAACATGATAAATGACCGATTAAATTGATATGGATGTAACTTTTTAAATTTTAGATGAAATGCTTTAGAACTCATAATATAAAGACACATTAGTAGCATAGACAATACGTCATGGTCAAAATAGCAAAATCTCACGCGCATGCACGTGCGCTGCACGCTGATTGGCTGAAACAAAAATCTCAATATCTTTTTTGTTTTTTGACGAAATGCTTTGAAATTTTGAACATCGCCATGCATTAGCATATCGTACAATATGATATATAGCAATTATCATGAAAACGCGTGCATGCACGTGCGCTGCAATCTGATTGGCTTAAACTTTAAATAGCTATAACTCATTTGGTTTTCAACCAAAGAGGATGGGATTTGAAACATAGATAGATATAATGAACTACTACAAGAAGGTATAGTCACCATGCACATGGATACACGTGCATGTACGTGTGCTGCAATCTGATTGGCTGAAAATTTAAACAGCTATAACTCCCTTGGTTTCCAACCAAACAGGATGGGATTTGGAACATAGACAGGTATAATGGACTACTACAATAAAGGTATGGTCACTATGCACATGGATACACGTGCGTGTACGTGCGCTGCAATCTAATTGGCTGAAACTTTTAACAGGTATAACGCCCTTGGTTTTCAACCATATGGGGTGGGATTTTGAACATAGAAAGATGTAATGGACTTCTACAAGAAGGTATGGTCACCGTGCTCATGTATGCACGTGCGTGCACGTGAAATGAACAAATTCAAAAATACACTTGAATGAGCGTATTTTTTATTACTTTTGGATTAAATACTTTAATTTTTAGCATATTAAAAAATTTAAAATATATGGATTGTG